CAGTTAATTATTATTACATTAAAGCTTGTTAGATGAAATCTATTTTGAGGAATTAAAACTTGCAGTTATTATTGATATTTTATGATAAGTTTATTTGTCCAAAAAATCTGTAAGCCATCTGTTTGATTAAAGTACAGTATACTTGTTACCTATGTGCGAAAATCGGTATTTTAGATATTTCTATTCCACTAACAGCTTGTTTATTTGTTAGATCAGTGCATATCCCTAATTTCCAAATACCAGGTCAAAAATATGGTTGATTTCAAGATATTTATGTGCCTTATAAAATTTGGGAAAAGATTTCAACATAAACTGATATTCGTCAAACAACCATAAAAATCCAACCATATTCGGCTGACTCATTAGAACTATTAATAATGACTTTCATCTTGAAACTAGAAAATTTCGCTTTATGCAATCCGTATTTTTGTTGTTAAGCCACGAAATTCAATTTCATGAGTTAAGTGATGATATGTTATATTTCAAGTAATCATTTAGTTTAAAGGTTTCAACTGCTATATTTAAACGTAGTAGCGAATAATTATAACTTGAATAGGTTAAATGATGGTAAACACTTGAAAAAACCTAAACTTAAGCAAAGCTACTAGTCATTGAGATTTTAATTCTGGGTATCGATTTAAATGATAAAAAATATTGTTGTAATTCAAACAAACTAACGAAATAGTTTTTTTCCACTTGGCTGATATAGTTTTCGCAAAGCACTATGTGTAAAAGGCTCGTTTTGATAGATTCTAATATGTATTTAATTATAGTGGTTTTTCGATCATGTGTTCATTGGGTTTCAAGTTAATCATTTTTAAATTATATACTTTGCTTGGTTTAGAGTGATTGAATTAAACAGACCAACTAATAAAAGTAATATATTACCAAAAGTATAAAAAATTTCATCCCTCAACAGTGGCTTTATTAGGAAGATAAACTCAGCACAACTGTATGATCGGTGCGAAGTTAATGCTGAATACGTAAGTTGGTTTATTGTTATTCAATTAGTACTGGTTTATAAACCAAGAAGAAATCGATTTCATAGGTAAATTTTGTGTAAACTCTTGTGTTTGTATTTCTATAAATTGTTGTTCCTGGTTCTTTTGGAATATATATATATGTTTCCACCTGTTTATTTTCCTGATTTGCATCAAGTCCATTAAAGTGCAATTTTTCAAGAGTCCTACACAAGAGGGATACAAACAGACTTTAATCTCTAAACTTTTATATTTGGTTAAAAAATTTTTCTGGTAAGCGGTTTTTTAGCGAGTTAGTTTTCTACGGGATGGGGACGCTAACCCCATCCCCAACCCTCTTCCTTTACCCGGGATTGGGACCGGCAGTAACTCTAGAAGAGCTACAGGCGGGGTTGGTTAAAATAGATTAAATAATCTTTATCCTATGATGAACTAGTCAAATAGTTTATATACTACGTGGCTGTTCAAACGTAGTCCAAAACTCCAACTTAAAGATTGAAATTTATATGAATTATTCATTGATACACCACCTCAATTTATTGCATAATTATTTTACTTCAAACAACTCTAATGAGTTATTAGTAGAAATAATGTTAATAAGTTATTATGAGGCTAACTTTGTTTATTTCAAGTAACTGTTATGCATTTTAATTAATTCATAATGAGTTTTCACTATGAATCACTCGATAATAGGCGGCTTCTTCATATTCAAACAAAAAAAGGAGAAAGAACAAGCATAAAATCGGCTTAAAACACTAATAGTCTAATCATGTTTTTTATATTTTAAATACAGTCAGTATCAAATAGCTTTTGATGATTTGTTAATGAAATCTATTTTCCTCTTAAAAAACAATTAGTCTATAAATTGTTTAAATTGTTTTGATATTTCTTCTTATTCTCATATAAATAATTTCTTTAAATGGACAACTTAATATTACTTACAATAAATAATAATTAATTATCATTTTTCATTGTGTTTTATTCTATAGAATTATAAGAACGAGTAATATTCACTTCTTTTTTTTAAAGTTAAAACATTTAATTTCAATTGTAATTATTGGTTTTACTAGTGAATAAAATTAATGATTGTTCTGGTTGTCAGAAGGAGCATCAGCCTCGTGACTTTCGAAGGAATTTGGCTTTCAACATGAGGCGTCATCACTCTTTTAAATGAAGACCTTCTAACTCCCAGGACAGATTTTAAATGGTTTTGAATTATTTTTTCTGGTTAGCATCATTTTTAGTGAGTTAGTTTTCTGTGGGATGGGGTCGCTAACCCTATACCCGATTCTCCTTCTTTATCCGGGCTTGGTAACAGTAATAGCCCCGGGCGGGCTCCAGGCAGAGTGTTCTCTGGTCTTGAGGATTCCATGCAAGGGCTTGTCTTGTGACGCAGTTGGGTGCTTTCCGCAGTGTTTGTCCCATCCACTTCCAGCGTTTCTTCCTGATTTCTTACTCCGTTGGAATCTGATTTATTTTCTCTCACAGATCCTAACGGAGTAAGAAATCATGAAGAAGCGCTGGAAGTAAATAGGACAAATTGAAGAATGCACTCAACTGCGTCACACTGCAAGCCCTCATATGAAATCCTCTAGGCAAAATGAAAAGAGGAAGATCAAAGAACACATTACGCTAAGAAATGGAGGGAGACATAATAGGAATTAACAGCAATTGGGCAGAACTGGAAAGGAAGGCCTGGGACAGGGTGGGTTGGAGAATATTGTTCGGCGGTCTATGTTTTGTTAGCGGTAATAGACGTAAATAAGTAAGTGAATAAAACGAAAAAAACACTTATCTATCTAACTGTTCATAGTTATACCTACTATATATATAGTTAGTTAGTTATTTTTACTTGTGAGAATAGTACTTTATTAACGTCTTAAATTAAATCTTAATAATAACATTGTTAGATTATTCTCTAATCATATATCAATATAACTACCATTATCCAGTTAAACAAAAAATAGAATATTGGGCTTTCATATAAACAACTGACGATTTGAAGTGGAATGCCTATAAGTCACTGAAATATGAAAATTAGCGAAAACCGAGAGATACTGAACTGATTGTTATAAATAAAAGGGGATAAAAGAAGTCAAGGAATAGTATGTGAATGATGTGACAAGAAAGGTTCAATTTTTTTTAGTCTGGTTGGCGTTTTTTCGGCAAGATCTTCTCTACGGATGGGGTCACCGACGTCATGCTCAACCTTCCTTCTTTGCCCGGGCTTAGAGCCGGCAGTATCTCCGAAAAAGAGCTACGGGAACTGACTAAAAAGGGGTACCGGATATACCCCAGTTGAAGTTAGACAGTACCATTGTTGGATTTCGGATGAGTGGTCTAGAGGTTAAACGTCCATATGCAAGACCTAAGGTATTAGGTTCGAATCCCGTGTAAAGGATCGTGGATGCGCATTGTTGAGGAGTTCCATGATAAAACGAAACAGCCATCGAGTGCTTCCAGTTTTTTCAATGGTGTCATAAAATTGATCCATTCATGATCTCAATCGGAATCCCATTTTGTAAATACGCTTTTACTAAAACGTCTTACAGTCCTCAAAATACTTTTAGTATTAAATAAATTTGCAATGAGTTAACACTAATTATGGGTTAACATCACTAGTTTCTCACGGACATAACCACGATATAATAAAATAAATATCTAAATTATCTTTTTTAAACATTACACCTTCGTAGTGTTATTTATGGAATTGCCTGGTCTATGAAAGATATTTGTGATTAAAGTTGATTGATAAAAATCGAAAATATGTTTATTCAAATAAGCGCTTTCAGAAAGGTGTTTTTGGTTCACTTTAATAGGAAACACAGATCTTTGATTCTAACATAGATATACAAATTTTGGTTTTCGCTTAGCTTACATAAATATGCTTTACGTGTTTGAATAGAGTAGATAAATTGATCCATATAACAGCAAGAGCAGTTATATTAATTCTGTCCATTTTAAAAGTTAAATTTTGAACCAAGAGTAAACCCTAGTTATAAGCAAGTATAATTCTGAACGACTTCTGGATTTTCTCTTACCTCAGTAATCTCTCAATTATCAAACGGTTTTCAAGTGATATTGTTATTCATTTTTAAATACACTTTAGTGCACCATTTTATTTTAACAATGTGGTGTGAAACTATAATATCTCATGCTACATGCGTTTACCGAGTTTCAAAAACCAATTTCCCACTGGCACCCAGTATATCTACAAAATAATACTTGTCCATAATCGTAAACATTACGAAAACTGTTTTTGATTTTATTCTGTAATAACTATAACAGCTAACCTTTCATCATCAGCAAATTACTTCAACAGTTTGATTTAATTATTGACCAGGAAACATTTTACCATTAAGTGTTTCTAGTAGCGAATATTTGACTGTAATAATTTTTGTAGCAAGAAAAAGTAATGACAGTTAGTCGACCATATTGTCGATATACAGAGCCAAAAATTTAAATCTCAGTCTACTATTTTAGTATAGCGGAATTTGACGGGCAAACTGTCCTCGTCAGTTTTTATAACAAAGTTGCATATTTAAGAATTCAACTGATTAAGTTGCATGCCAAGAAAGAACTTTAGTTTCTTGATCTGTGTGCGGATGGAAGTTTGCTTTAAGCTAAATAGGACTGTAGTACCACATAATCATGTAGGCAACAAGTATCGTAAGCGGGCTGTTTATTGTTAAACACTTAGATCAAGTAACTATATACTAAGCTAACATTTTTTGATTTCATATTTGAAGCAAAAAAGCTTCATCAGTGTGGGAATTTGTGGAGATTGTTGTATTTTTACAGTTGAATTCGCGAGTTGATCGGGGATGCAGGTCCCCATATTCGGACAAAACGGCCATCTAGTACCTCCAGGTTTTCAACATCAATGTGTTCTAGCTTAGACAGACTTGTGAAATCGACAAAGCTTTAGGTTATAATTAGTAGTTAAACAAGGGTGTTATGCCACTAATTATGAGAGATATAAGAAAACATAATCACTTTGTTGAATTAACGTTAACTCACCCTTGACTGAAGGAGATCAAGTAGTTCCGTCCAGAAGTCTGAATTTCCGTAATCTTGCTGTACGGCAATACTCATCCGATTAACCATAAGTATAATTAACTGAAATCCGACAAATAATTTCAAATGAGGTAGTATATTTTTAATAAACGAGAGTCTATCTCATGTGTAGATTTCGGCTTTGAACACCATTTTCCCCTCAAACCCACGTTTTCCTTGCTAGGCGATCAGATCTTTGATTAGTTCATCGTTTTAAACAGAACCCTGAGGACTAACGCTGCGGCATTTAGTACAACTGACAACAAATTTCAATACGAATACAAAACCGATCCTAAAGATGAGTCACTATGATAGCTAGCACATAGCTATATAATTCTTCCTCTGCAATTAAATTGGCTAATGAAAAAACTACACAGTGGTTCCTGTAATAATCAGACATCAACCAAAACAGAAAAACACTGGATACAAACAATACAAAAGTTAAGAAAAAGATCAGTCGCTGTTTTTGAGTTCTTTAGCCAAATATCCAAATGTCTCAATTTGAGGGAACTGTAGCGGTAAATAAATCCCCAAAATAAATAGCACTGTAAGTTTTCGACATTGGACGCTGACCATATGTTTTAGTGGACTCATCTAGCTGAAGGCGCTCGGTCAGGCATCCGTACCAGATCACGTGTGGTAACGCCGTGCTCAACATCAACCGCAATCGCTAGCCAGATTAGATCAGAGGATTCCGATATATTGGTCATCGCAAAATATACTCTTCCGATCTCCTCGACTCTGTCTTTTGATTTCTCTTGGTGGGAACGAAATATATTAGAAGGTGTTACTGGTAGAAGCGTTGTCAAACACTGAATACCTGTGACATCATCAAGGAAATATATATTTTTGGTAATTTATCAGAACATTTTATCCGTTTTGAGGAAATTTTCGGGAAACCGCTATAGAAAATTTGGGGAACATTTTGTGGAAATGTCACAAAGACCACAAAGTTTCCTCGAACCTGGGAGACTTTTCTAAAATTTTCAGAATTTCCCCAATATTTTATCAAAACATTGCGAAAGACTACTGAACCTCAGGGAAAAACCCAAAAATTCCCGAAAATTCCTCGAACTTGCTCTAAAATATGGAGACTGAGATTTTACAAAAGCGTCATAATTTTTAAATAAAAAATGATCTTTATTTATCGATGTAGATGAACAATGTAACTATTTTTGATGTCAAGGATTCTCATTGTAACCGTGTATTTGTCATGGGCAATACACAACGTTGAGCTTATTTTTGAGAAATACTTTTGAGCAACGTCCAAAAAAGTCAAAAAACACTTACGTCTCTTCTAAATACAGTTGCTAGGGTTCCAATAACCAAACAAGCCATGAACAAGCCACAAAGTAGTGTGAAGAACTGAGATAGGATATTACAAAAATCTCTTCTATACCGTAACCAAAATGCAGCGATTTTCAAGTGCAGCCCCTGCGCATCCTAAAATTGAGAGTAGCAAAATGACTCCTCCAATGGATATAGTTGAATATGCTGATATTCTTAACAAATGAGGTCCCATAATATCCAGAAATATTTGGGGCCAAAATAGGGCCCAACAAGCTATCACGATAGACGAAAGCCCAATCAGTATAAATATGACATTCAAACACAACAATACACACTTTACGCACATTAAAGATGACCCCTTCCAACACATTTGATTACGAATTCTGATTACACGACCTTCAGGTTTGTAACATTGCGAAAAAGAGTACACTTAATCTGAAAAGTTTAAACGAAATGGCATGCCCGGAGCAGTTATCAATCCAGATTGTTTTTTAGATGGAAAACTTAATAATTGTATGTTTCATATGCCTGGAATGGAACTACTCGATTTGTGGATTTAATTGCAGCTACATTTCACTTCACTTTATGATAGAGCGGTAAGACCCTAGGAGGAGATCATCTGGAAGTTTTAACCCAACAGGTTTGCTGTCGGTAGACGCCCATCTGACAGCTCTCTATGTTCAGCGGCATGTACTCTTCTTTCTTTAGTAGAAGGAGCCATGTAATGCAAAATAACAATCAAAAATGTGCGGGAAATTTACAGTTCATTGTATTTTTTAATTATTTAAATTTCCCAGCTAACCTGTAAAAGAAAAATTTTGAGAATGTAATTATACATTAAAATACACTCCCACTTGCTCAGGAAAGAAAAATTTGTAAAAGTAGTCTGATATATATGTGTACATACGCCATACGACAGAGCAAAAGTTTTCATACAAAAAGGTAGTTTTCAAGATTTAATATGGAAAAAGAACATATGCACATGTATAAGTATATCAGACAAAACGATGTTCCTTTTGTGTTTACACAACAACACAAAAAGCAACACGCAATTAGATTATTAATGAACATAAAAGACGAGATAAAATAAAGTTATGCAATGTCCTACGTGCAATTGTCGTTCAGGGTATTCTGGAAACCTTACCATCATTCAAGAAAGCGTTATTTTGGGTTGTTTTCATAAATTCAGAGAATTACCACCGTAGTTGTTGTTTATCGAGGATGGTTGCCCAATCGTTTGTTTTGCATAGTTCTATTGTTCAGGATCAAGTTAACATAATTATGATGTCCCTCTAAATAAGCTGCTTTAATATAGCGTTATCATTACTTTCCTTTTACCGACGGTATATTACTTAGCTTTGATATGGACAGTTTTGAATTTTACTTCGTATGTCGTTTAGTTGATCGGTGTGTTAAATCGTGATGCACGAAAACGTACGCACTAAATCATAAAGTGGACTGAACGAAAACATCAGTTAACTTAGGTCAGGTCGAAGCAGGTTCAACTAAATTCATAGTTCATATTCACTAAAGAAGACAAATGATCTACAAACTAAGCTCTAAATCAAAGTGCTGTTCCATAAGAGTGCTGTGTCATAGTGTATCTAAAGTCAGACTTCACTGCATTGCGAATACCAGTTAACACGAGTGAAAGATCGTCTGTCCACTGCGGTCCGTTTGCGTCTCAGTGAAACTTTCAACACACGGTGAGATTATCCTACCTACCCTCCAGTTTGTGGGTGGTTGACAGCCTTTTCGGATCGTGCGATTCCCAGCAATGTAGCAGGGCAACGGAAAAGTTTGGATTCGAACTTACGTCCACAGTCTGTAGCAGTTGATGGAGGGCAGTGGATGTTTAAAACCCATCGTTGGAAAATGAGCAGGCCATTATTTGGGCAGAAATGTCCCTGATTAGTGCTGATTCCGGCTATCGTGTGAAGCGGTTCACAGATGATAAGAGATACGAGTAATAATTTAGATCCGCCTAGAGCTCGACTAAGTCAAAATGAACACGATCGGAACGAGCGTCGAAAATAGCGAAAGAGTCCAGTGACATTTGTTTTTTTGCCGTCCCAGACTTTTTGCAGCTTACATCAGAGCATTCTTGCTCCATCACACCTTGACTCACATTAGGCCAGCAAAATCATACTGCCGTAATATTTGTTCAAAAACCTGGATCAGTAGGCTTGTGCAGTGTTACGGCGCGACTGAACGATTATTACCTAAATATGTGTCACATAGTAAAGTTCTATGACCCGTTACGATCTGTTTGATTAGTAATTTCTAAGTTGTCGAAGATCAGTGAGCTCTTTTTTAAGTTGAGCATGTTTAAGAGGATCGATGTACTGAAAACTATTCAGAGAAGTTGGATGAGGCGAGGTTTGTAACTACATTGTTAGTTAAAGAGTGTGTTGTAAATCCTAAATGAACTGAGGTATTTGATTCTGTTGTCGAGACTCTCTACTAAAGTACTTGTCTACTGTGGCTAAACGGAGTAAATTCTTGGCTATCCGCAGAGCGGTGAAAGTGCCGTACAACACAACACATAGCTAGGAGTTCTCTGAAGAGAGTACCATACTTTTGTTCCGTGTCTTGCGGACATCTCGAAAAAAGAGTGCCAGAGTTTCTTCGTTCTTAGTCATCCATTGTTGTAAGACTCTTCAGATTGCCAAGTTGGATATGTCTACGGCGAAAATAGTGGGCGCTTTGATGTCCTGGTACGATAATTTCCTTAATTGTGTAGAATGCACTTTTTGCGTCGTCACTCAAATTGATGATTTTCACATTTCCATGGAGTTGGTTTATTAAGGATCCTATGAAGGAAGCGCATCTCAGCATGAACTGTTGGTAGGAACTTACTATTTCGTCGAATCCACGTCATTGCTCGACTGTGGTCGATTCTGAGTAATTCGGAATGGCCACTACTTTTCTTTTTTGAGGGCAGATATCTTGGACTTCAAAGTGTATGAGAAGATACGGAAAGCCAATTTCGATCTGCCATTCCAAAATGTTTTCGGTAATAGTGCGTATTGGGAGTCATTTGTAGATAGTGTCCATTTGATGGAAAAGTGGTTCTTCGTTTGGACTTACAGCCATATTCATTCGTACTCATTAATTCAAAACCTCTGAACGTGTCATCAACGAATCTCTGGAAACTTTGTGCAGCATTTCTTAAACCGGAAAGCATGTGGAAAAATTCGTAGAGCCCGAAAAGAATGACTATCGCCGTTTAAAGAATGCCGTCTGCAGCCACAGAAATTCGGTTACATGCTTCAACCAGATACATTTTCGAAAAAAACTGTACCTCTAAGAATAGCTGTGAGGTCGTGGATGTATGGTAAAAGGTAACGATCTGAAGTAATTTTCACATTCACTCGCCGATAATCATCAGTTGGATGCTGATCAATTCTTTCCTTATAAAGGACCATATTCAAAGAAAGTTCTTGTGATCATTCTGATCGTTAGATGATGCCCGGGTTATCATGTGTTAAAATTCGTTTTCGACCAATTTGTCCAAATACGTTTGCTGGACGAAACGTTGGCTTAATTTACATTTCACTCGCTGAGATTATCTAAAATATTTTTTTTCATATAAAAATTCAACTGTTTATACGTTACCAACATGTTCATTATTCAAGACTTCATGTCATCCGCGGCATTTCATTACGTTGACGAATCCACTGAATTTGCCGTTACTTCTCCCAATAGTTAACTTCCAGTCATATGTGGTGACCGAGAAGTAGTAGATTTTCCAACTATTTAATATACCCATTTAGCACAGTGATAAAGGCAGTTAACACGATATGTGGTGAATATTTTGGGCTCATTATTAATATGGTTGTGAATAGACAATTTAAATCTTGCAAACTCCAAGCATGTGTTATTGTAGAATACAAATTAAGCTTGGAACTAAAGAATAACTGTCTAGGTTGTTTAGATGCACGCTGTCGCCCAGTTGGAACCAAAACAAGGTGATTGAGTAAATGACGGTTCTAGATTTCAACATAAACACAAATGCGCATCATAACCAAAACAAATATTACCGCCCAGTTATTCAACCAATGTTTGTTCAATTAATCAAATCTAAATTACCACAAATAAAAAAGTTGATGAAGGGTGTAAGAACATTACTAAGCGCAACAATCAAGTGTTATTCTATCCTTTCTGAAAAGGTCACGTTTGAAAAATAATATTTTGTTGCATTATAACACAGTGTTTCCAATTCTCGACGAGTGCTTCAATTCACAATCAAAAGTGCACAATCGCAGTCAATGCAAGCAACACAACCAAAGGAGGAACAAGACCAATATGGCTGCCTCCAAGACTAAGTATCAACTAAAAAAAAACATAAATGCAGTTCAGGAAGCAACATGGAAACTGAGTGGAGGCGTAAGAAAGATAAAAATTCTGATAAAATACAAATATTACCACCTCAACTGTAATCAAAACATCTAACAAAATGTACAGCTGGATGAATCAATAGGAACAAATTACAAGTGTGTAAATGGAAGGATTTTCACACAAAAACCTTCAAAACGGATCTTACACCGGCCTGCGAAATCCCTCCAGGCAACACAAAGCCACTTCGATGCCATTGGTCGTTGTTCATTCTGTAGCATAGTCTACACTAGAGGACCCACAACAAGGAACTAATCCGAACATCCAAGGAGACACACCTTACGTATATCCTTTCTAACCGACTGGTTATTCACCTACCATCCTAATCTTTTTGTCATTATCGGTTTCACAGCTTTCATCTACTTCTAAGGGCCGCTTTTCATGTGTCGAAATGTCCGAAGTCACGATTACTACATCTCCTTTCCGGAAATCGCTATGTTCAACTAACTATTTTTGATGTTTTCGTGGGGATAGTAAATATTCTCTTAATCACCTTTTCAAAAACATATTAGCTAGATTATTAACCTGTTTTCAACGCTTGGCATACTTATCTCTGATGTTATCTTCTTCGGCTACTCGGTTACACTCCTTCAACAATAGCGAACTATTTGATGATGTATGTTGTTTGTCGTTAGCATCTTGGATAACTGAGGTTAAAAGTTGACCGTTCAATATCCTTTTAATATCGACCAAATATTTGCCTAAGGTCTCATCAGTCAGCCTGTCCTCTAGTGATCAACAATAACAACCAGAATATAGACCTAATCACCCTATTCCAAACTCCACGCGTATGGCTAGATGAAGGCGGGTTAAAATGCCACCGATTCCTCCTCTCTAAAAATTCATTACTTATCTTCTGCTGACTTAACTGTTGCACAAATCCCTTAGTTCAGAGATCGCACCCACAAAGTTCCACACTTTTTCTTCCAAAAAAACAGTAATATGGCCATTATAAATGAGTTGCTATTCAAACTAAACGTCATTTCAATATGTACTGCTCGTGTTTTCAAACAAGTAAGTACACATCCATATCTTTTTTCTAATGATTTTCCTGTTTTGACTAAAAAAGGTCCAAAGTAGGCTACTCTTGCCGCTATGCCAGTTCTGTTGCACTCTACAAGCTAGAAGCGGCCCCAGCAGTTGTTGTCCTGAATTCATCGTTAACCACCAGCAAGTCAAACATTTTCCCATCACTCTCCTAACCGTGCTGGTTTCTTTAACTATCCAATAGCTTTTTCGAATTGTGGCAAGTAATTGAGACGTTCCTGTGTGCACTTGTTCCCTATGATAATGTCTAATTATTATTTCCGTCACTAAGTGTCGACTGGGTAAAATTATTGGATGTTTAAAAGCATTTGGGAAATCTGAGTAGCTTAGGCGACCTTCAACACAGAGTAACCCATTAAGCATTATCCGTGATAAACCCTTCAGATCATTATGACTAACTAACTTACTGTTGTTTTTAAATTCACTGAGTAATTCTCCATACATCTCTTTCTGGACTATCATTAAAATCTTACGCTTGGCGAATTCAAGCTCATTTACCTTTAGGCATCCTAAATGAACGGATCCTTCGCTAATCGGTGAACGAAGTACCGTCAAGAATTCTATGAACCTTCTAAGCCAGGCTACAGCCCTGACTAATTTCAACCACTCAGAATAATAAAAAAGAATAAGTGACATGTTGTACTTTATGCTACTCAGGTTAACCACAGCTGCTTTTCTAAACTCAATATTGTCAGGAGTAGGTTCCGGACAGTCAGTGATAGCTATACAAAAATCGCCATGCAGTGAAGTAGGACATTTAAACCAAGATTCAGGATCGATCATTCTTTGTATACCCCTCGAGGTTCAATCAGCAGGGTTCTGTAACAACTTTACATAACACCATTGTTCAACCTTCGTTTACTGGTGCTCAACAGCGAGGTGATTGGCCGTATAGGTACTTTACGGGTTTTCGGTATTATTGAACCCGTGTAAAAAATCACTTCACAGAAAAAATTGGGTAGACTATTCTGTAAGGCCTCATTTAGCCCTACACCTAACACCGCTGCTGCCAACTCAAGCCTCAGCATAGTGACTTGTTTGATAGGTACTATCCTAGATACAGTATGATGTTTCCTTCAAATAACTAACTCTTGTGTAAACAACTGCCTCATTACCAATCTCTGAAGCATCACTGAACAAATGTAATTCTACTTTCGCGTCAGGTTCGTCGATTCTTTTCTTGGTCCCTCGAGCCACAGTAACATGCCTTATATGTCGCATAAAATTCACCCAATTTAGCTACGTGGACATTTATGTTTCGTTGAGAGGCTGATCCCAGCCTATTTGGGACTTAAATAATTTTTACAAGAGACTTTATCAGTAAGGCTGACTGGAGCATTTGGACCCAAAGGATCGAACAAATAGAATCTTTCTCCTGGTCAAAGGCTTTTCTGGCGCATCAAAGTAAAACTTAAATACATCCCGTTCGAAATCCCATTCTACGCCTAGATTTCAGTGAGCGGTATCGTAACTTGTTGACATTTTCATCAAAGACCCTTTTTTACACAAACCAGACAAGATGGTCCTTGTTTCGTTCGAGTTAGTGATTTATTTCTTTAATTTAAAGCCCCCCACTACATTATAATTCGCTTAACTGCTTAACAAACTTCTTTGCCTGTTCACAGGTGAAAAAATATATCGAGCAACCACCAACATAGAAACTGTTCTTGACAGCATGTACGACATAACGATCATAACCATCAGAGAATGTTTGGGCTGTCTTATTCATGGCAAAGTTCGCACAAAACGGCGATGATGTGGCACCGAATGGATGAGCAGTCATTTGAAATTCTGATGGTTTCCTCGACATGTCTGCTCACTGGCACTACATAAATCCTAAAGCTCCTCGATCAAACTCAGGAACCTTCACTTGTATGAACATTTCCTCAACATCTGCAGAGATTGCAACTGCCTCCTTGCGCAAACGCAATAATATACACTCTAGCTCAGCCGTGGCGTCGGGTCCTTGATAAATCATATCACTTAGGTAAGCCCTTGCAAACGTGGCGGCACAATCTAGGACCATTCTAAGTTTCTCTGGCTTTTTCGGGTTTCACACTGCATGATTAGTTAAATACCATCAGGAGCGACAATTTGGCTGCAATTATATTTCGGGTACCTTCTCCGCTTAGCCCTTAGTAGTGAAGATTCCAGAAGTATTCGGAGTTTGACAACACTTTAACCAGTAAAACCCTCGAATATGAATCGTACCCATCAAGTGAAATCAAAATACAGAAGCAAGGGGGTCCGAAGATATAGTTGATAGGTTATCAATATATCGAGGATCGTCTGGTCTAATCTGGCTAGCGATTGCAGGGGTTGTTTAGCACGGCGTTCCCACTCGTGATCTGGTCGATATTCAGTGACCCAACAGATGGATGATTTGGCTAGGTCTCAGTGACATTTCACTGGCCCTACAATACTCCCTCAACAGATTCCACGGCCGTTTGAATAGGTACCAAACATGTTGGGAGTAGTCGCGCGCCGGAGAGTGGCAAACGATTATTATGAATCCCCCGAGTATTGCCGGGCTGTAAGACGAAATAGAAAGTAGGCGGCAGAAGCTGATCGGGAAAACAGCGAGTAATATGTTAGTAGGAAGCTGGTTGAACATAAAGCGATTAACCATAGAAATAATAAAAACATAACGTTCTATTGTTCTATCAAGTCGCGCTGAAATATATAGCTTCGACAAGTAATTCAGTCCCTCCGATGAGAAACGTTAAGTTTGCCGCAAGAGTAATGGTGCTATAGCGATGGTAGGATAAGTTTATTATCAGTCGATGCCGATGTTTATACTGCTATTGATTTAAAGCTGAATGTCAGACATTTTCGTTGATAGCTTCTAGTTATATCTATATTTAACGGACTAACCGCAAGTACAGAAATATAACCGTGAACAGTGGTCGTGATTTCGAAAAGAACATAAGAAACCAAGAGTGTCACTCTGGACTCATGTCAATGATACTTAAGGGGTAACACCCAAAAATTGGAGATACAACATAGCAGACACAACTTACACTCCTTAAGAGTTGTCAGATGCTGGAATTCGCTGCCGAATGAACTAGTTCAAGTGACTTCCCAGGAGTCCTTTAAGAGGAAACTTGACCTATTCTTAAGGACTCAGGATAACATCTTATTATCAGTCTTCAGTTATAAGAATAGTAGGTTGGTGAAGCTGCATTAATCCTGACACATTGCTTTCCAGTGAAGGTCCAGCTTTTCCTTGAAAGTATTCACTGATGGGGCTGATACCGCTTGTTCGGGTGAGGCATTCCAATCATTGACTACTCGATGAGAAAAACGGGACCCCACTTTAAGTTTATTAGTTCGCGGTTTATGAACCTACTTGCTATGACCTCGGAGATTGTTAGTGCAGGAGGGAGCAAAACAATAAGACATATTAACACCCAAATCATAATAAAAGATACGAAATGCCAATATAAGATCACCTCGCGTCTTACGATACGACAAGGGGAAAAGGTTTAGGCGTTTTAAACGCTCATCGTAATGGAGTTTAGAAAGACTCTTCACTAATTTCGTTCCCACACATTGAACACACTCAAATGAGTTAGTATTCTTTACCAGACATTGGCCAGCTGCTTGGATACAGTACTATAAATGTGGCCTTACATAGGTGGGATATAAAATTCGAACCATTTCCTCGTCAAAAGATTCAAATGCTCGGCGAAGTGACCATAACGCACGAGAACCTTTGACAATGGCTGCGCTGCAATGCTTAGTTTATTTTAAGTCATGGCTTATTATTACTCCTATGTCTTTATGTTCTTGAACGCATGGAAGAGATTTACCCTCAATAGTATGATAGTAACTATTACCGTGACCGGTGTGCATTAGCACACTCTTCCTAGAATTGATTCCTAAGCCTCAACCTCGAGCCCATCTGACCAAATCGTCTAAGTCAGCTTGCAGATCCAGATGATCAGCCTCACTTTTTATTGTTCTCCAGATTTTACGTCATCCGCAAACAATAATATTGACGACCTATGCAACAGCGGTAACTCGTTAACGTAGAGAAGAAAGAGGAGTCATCAATTTTTTTCTTATCTATTATAGTTAATATACCTAGGTTCCTGCCTGGAGGTATTGGTGATCCCCTGCTACTAGACACAGGAGCCTGTTAAGCGAAAGCTTCTTTTATTCTGTCCATAACCATTTGAACCATTCGAACCATTTTAAATGTAGTGCTACGATGTCAATAACGGGTCCATCAGTTGAGAATCTGGAAAAGTCAAAGGGGTTATGGAGGTGTGGATGTTGTTGTAATATTCCTACATTTTTAGAGCAGCCTATGTTCTAATAAAGAAGTTGGATGCTGTTTATCATGGTGGGAAGGCGATTAAAACAGTCTTCAGTTATGAGGCTTATGGGCATAGGTTGAGGTTTGGAGTTATTTCTCTTCTATACCACCATAGACTAAAGGAACTACTTCAAAAACTAATGTTTATGGATTTAAGCACGAATTCTCGAAGAACTGAGGAGCTTATTTGGCGCAAAGCATTTTACGAACCTTATTTCCTGTATAAAGTTTACATTAAGGTACCCAAATTTAGAAACATTTTCTTAAACAAGTTCAGAACAATGATCAACAAGACCGTATTAAGTTGTTTGAGAATATGCTTGTCGTTCATATCCTCAGTGCTATAGGATACTATCAGTCTCTCATTTTAGCTTTCCAATCACAGTTAGGAGATACACAATCTAATAACTTATGTTCATGGATCCCAATAGCTTTGCATATCCCTCTTTACTGTGGTAAGTCGTGTTGGTTGCTTAAGTTTTGTCTCAGGAGTGTTCTTTGAGTTTGAGGAAAAGCATAATCCCTCCATGGAGAATAAGTCTGCAATTATCAAGTTGATACACAAATGTCTGACAAATATCGGAGACCTATGTACGTTGTTCATACATATATAACAAACACAGTTCGCTATCTAATTGATTTCGGTGATTCTAACGCTAAGCGACTTGCTTATCGATATTACAAAGCGGCTTTTTATTTTGATCCTCTTATGGGTAAGTACCATATCTATTAATATATAATATATATCAGGAACAAGATTTGGCGGTGTTCCCGTTCATATTTTTTGCTTTGGGGTTTGTTTTCGCCAAATGCTTTTGTTTGACTGATAGTTTTATTACTAAGTTTCTCGTTCTGTTTCGGCAAGTATTACTCGATAGACTTCAATTGTTACTCATCGTGTATATAGTGTTCATGTAGACATCTTTCCCCAGTTGGATTAATGCGACTTTCTGGGCGAAGCTATGCCAGTTTTAGAGCACTGGACTTCTACCCTGCAATAAAACGCGTAATATGATGGTTAAGAATTAAGTTTAATAGTTGTCTTAGTTCCCTGAAGACGTACGTACGAAGTTCTACGTTGTTACTGACTGACTAGCACCCTGAAGAGTGAATAGTTTACAAAATTTTCACTGTCCAGTCGTTTATGACAACCAGTCCTGTTTACTTATTCGCATTTTATTTATAAGCACTTCATTCTATTAAATAGGCAACCAATACATTGGGTCCGTGTATTGTATTCTGATATAAGTTTACTGGGGCTTGCGTCCATAATTTGGTCTCGTGGTCAGTCTTCATATGGTTACATATATTGGTTGTGATCTAGTTCAGTTTAAGTTTCAAAACTTGTTCATAAAACCTACCATAACAACAAGTATGTTAATTTTTAAGCTCAACTATGTTTACAGAACTAATGTGAACTAAAGGTAATCTAGTAACCATAAAAGGTTCATACACTGAGCAAAACATATGTGCTAATACTTGTGTGATATGTTTCATAAATCAACTGTTGTATTTGATCATACAGTGAAACATGTAAGTCAGAAAACGTTAGGTGATAGAGTAAAGACATTTTGATATCCTCATCATTAATGTTTACTATTTTGAAACGAAACAATAGTTTTGACCACCTGACCTCATTCTGTCACGCTATTATCAGGTTATAGTAGGTGGAATTTTGAGCCTTTTTCAGCAGATAATATTCGAAATGCATTACTAGATATGGTTATTTCAGGTAAATTGTTAATCATATCAGGTGTTTTGAACTGCCCTCAGTATTAGATTTACTCAACGTATGTACTTGTAATGTTTACCGTCTGTTTAAATGATTGGGGCCAAGCGGAAGTTAACTCGTGAAAAATGTAGATATTTCTATTGATATATTACCAATAAATAGAGGCAAATTATTAGTATCAATGATTTTGATGTGTGTTGTGAAGTGTTATTCATACCATATCTATGTGGCCATTGACTTAGGCTTTTCTCTAAGCTGTTTCATCTATGTCTCCAAATATCCTCTTTTTTCGCCAGGATTGCCTCACAATCAATTGGGTATTTTAGATGTTGGACGTTGCTACGGCCTAAATGCTGTTTTCCATTATTTACGTTGCTTAACATCCCGTTCGCCTTTTGAGGGTGCTAAAGGAAATCTCATCACTGTATTGGCTAAAAATGAGCTTCGTTATGGCATAATTATTCGCGAAAAGCCGTCTAAAAGTTCACGCATCCGATATGCTTCTTATTTCAGGTGAGCGTATTATTTGTACTTAGTCATTTCTATTTGTTAGGTGTTTCATGGTAACTATCAGTAAAAACTAGGAAGAATAAATGACCATTATAAACAACTGAACCATATATTTGTCCGAGTTATCGTATTTCGCATTGCGTAAAGTGTGTTTGAGCGGAATAAATTTCACTAAACAAATTCATTCCTACAAACCCCAGACCATACCTGCTGCGGTGCACATAACATCTTTCACAAAACCCGATTCGTAAACTTCTGCAAAGGTTGGGTTAGCTTATTTAAACACCACCACCTATAATCTAAGCATTTATTACCTAAAAATACTGACACAATAAAGATGCTTCTTAAAAATCAAGATCAAATCCTGTTGTTTTTTCACCCATCTTTAACTATTCACGAAGTAGAGATTGGCTTATTGTTTTAGATTCCCTAATGTCCCATTTATATTGAAGCTTTTTTAAGTTTAAAAGCGTCATAAGTCTCAGTATTTGTTTTGAAATCTTATCAATCACTAACCTTTCAAGGCGGATGCAGTATCTAATGTAAATTAGCCACATTCGAATTCCTTACAGTAGTTTTGCACTGAACATCCGAAAATAATCCTAAAGTAAATTTTCGGATTTTGAGGATAAAAAGCATGGATCTTTCATCCTCATACTATCTTACGGTAGTCCTTATCTTCGCGTCATAAGCTTTAAATTTAAGAAATTATATCACTCAGTTGTCTTAAAAGTTTACTTATGCTAAACATATAACTTTTTAATGATCATTCTTACAATCAACTTTTTTGTTGCTTTTTAGACCAAAAGATTTCCGGAAGACTATCATGAAATTCATCTACCTAATTCAGCAGTTCCTAAAACCTGTAGAGTATGGGTCATTTTTCATTGTGTATTCATAGATTTTGTTATTTGAAAAGAATATATTTTAGTTAATTTACTTCAAAAGGTCATAAAATACTTATTAATACTATGGTGCAACAGTGTTAAAACACTATCAAGCTGCAACTTGGCATCCGATTCCAACTAGTTCATTTTGGGTAGCCAGGCAAGATCACTATCCTCTACAAGAATGCGTTACTCGAAGTTAAGTCCACACCCTTTACCTGGTTACTGAGTTACTTGTTAAAAAAATCAAAACTAATTTATTCGTAGCGATGTACAGCTTTATCACTTACAGTATTTTTATTAGAGATAAAAGTTGCATGTGCTAACAACGAAAATTTGGTTCGTAGCATTAATTTCTTGGTCATATTTCGGTAATCCCTTCAATTTGTTCATTGGTGATTTGACCAAAATTAGTAGTTTATTATATATATATATATATATATATATATATATATATATATATATATATATTACTGTTTATCTATACCTTGATGTCGGCAAAAGAGGAAGTGAAAGATTCACAACCAAATTATTCAGCTGAGGGAATACAGCATTTCGATAAAATATAAAAGACATAGGAACTGGAAAATAAAAAGATGGTCATAAAGTTTAACATTTATGTAAGGCTTGTCAAAATATTCTCTTATTCCTCTGGAGTTTTTTTGATTGTTTAGTTTAAATATGAAGATAATAAAACATTGTTGTGTACTCTTCTTAATTAATCATGTTTTAACTCGGATTTCCCCGTCTTTGAATCGCTGTCCATATTACTTTTTACATATCTTAATCGAACTTTGTGGGTTGTTATAACTAGAAACTTCCTAAACGTTTGACTCAAAACCGAATTCTTCAATACTACAGGTATTGGAGATGGTTGGAAGAAAGTTAGGGGCGGCCAAACCAAAACGTGGCATCAGTGCTTGAAGACACTAACTTCTAGTCTGAGCCATGTTGGTAGATGCAGACTACTTGGTTGGGGTCCGCGTGACTTTCGTAACCAATGGTTGGAGACTCTTGGTGACATGGCTCAGAATCGATCACAATGGCGTCGGTGTATACACTCCCTGTCTTCCCTTAAACTAAGAGATTAAAATCACTTCATATCTTTCTTTCTACGAACCAATTGTTTCTTCTTGTACTATATCTCTATATGCAATCTTCCTCTTATTTATTACCACCTTTGACCTAACCACTGCTATGAATCCGGTGTTCATCTTGTTGTGCTGATGCGGTATAGCAACCTGGACCGATGCACATATGTGCCTGGTCCTACGTTGTAGCTGACTGACTGACAGGTTGCAGTCAGAGGGTACTTCCGTTTGGTAGTCCATAACCACAACAGCTCTACAAATAATCGCTTCTGCAGGGTTTGGGGCCTGCTCATTTCGTCATCCACAATTAAAGGGTCACTCATATGCTGATTTATTTATATTGTTTATGTTAGAAATCATAAGATCTTATCAAAATTCAGAAAGATTTTATAATGTCAAACATTTTTACTTTGTATTTCCCTCCAAAGGTCTAGGGATCCAGCAACAGAAAGTATTTTTCATGATGTACTTGCGGAACTACATTCTTCGTTACTACTTACTGATCATTTAACTGTACGATCTGAAAGTATTACTTATTCAGAACATATTAATACCAAGTATTTAAAAATGGGCGAAGTTAAAGAAAAACCAGATCGTGTAGATGAAACATCTGATCAGTTGACAGGACCTATTTTTATTAGAATGCTACTTATTTCTATACTTACTTATGAGTATATATACCAGCTTAACTTAGAAGATCGCAGTAAATCAAGTGAGAAAAAATTAGACGAAAATTCGAATATAGAGAACAATTCTCCTCAAGAAGCTGAAATCACTTCAGCCTTTACCAGTTTGGTGACTGGTGAAGAAGAAAAAGCCATTCAGGTATGCAAATTCCATTGGTTTGGAACCTTGTGTCCTTTAAACATGAATTGGCTGGTTTTCCTTTCAAAAAGTTTTGCATCATAAAGTGAAGTCGTAAAACGTACAATTTCTCGTTTACTGAGTCTTTAGTAGCTTGTATAACAAATCTGATTTTTTAAAACAGAGTATTGCCAACTAAACATTCGTGGTAATTATGTGTAGTCTAATGTTATAAAAGCAAAATGACTTTAGATTTGCATTCTTTGTAAATCTAGAATCTAATCGCTTACCAGTTCAACCAAAAATGTTGACTACACTTTTTTTGTAAAAGCACAGTGACTGGTTTTTTGTACAAACCAGGAATGCAAACACTGTTTCCTAATCAAAACAAAGTCACATATTTTTGAGAACATATTTATCTGAAAAATAGACTTAGGAAAAGGCATTTGTGATTAAGAACTGAAAATCTAAAATCTGGAATATATGGTTTTAGTAGTTTTACTGTGTCCATATTAAAGAAATCTCGCTGCATCAAAAACAGTTTCAGATTATCTGTACTATCTAATGAAATCTTTGAATCTAGTGTAAAATAATTGAATTGAATATATAGTTTCCGTCATTCCGATAGGTCTCGTACTGTTATAGGTGTTTGGGCACTTTTCACTTCCCGGTTGGCCACACCATAGAAAGACACTTTTTGAGATATGTAAAAAGAAAACGGAGTTATGGGGGATCTTGAAGACTTGAGGGCGTAACCGCAGAGCCTAAGAAACAATTACACTTCATACACAGCCTTTTTGCTACTAGCTTCAAATGTGTTAGCTCTGCACTTTAAAGGCCTTATCGTTAGAAGAGAAATCTGTGGGACGCAAGTGATGCCAATAAATGAAAAGATATAAAATTAGGCAATCGAACTTATGGAGTCAAACAGCTTTGCAATGAAAGCAGATGGTTCCTGATGATATGGATATTAGTGGACGTTTAATGCTAACGAAGTGAATTTTGCAAGACGCAATTAGATTCCAGCTCAATTACTGGACATTAACATTATCGTTGATAGATCTGATCATTCTGAGTCCAGTCCTAAATCATGTGGAGAGTGTTTATTGCTCATGAGGACAAAACAACTGTTCAATGCTCTAGGATTTTCAATTGTTTTCTATTTGGAATCACTGTTAATGACTATTTGCAAACTATAAATAATCGATTGATTTAAATACACATGAAATGTCGATTAGTTGTTTTTTAATCGTGTTATCCGTGCGCTTTCAGAAGGATACGTTTGCTTCTCTTAAAACTTGCTTTTCCTTTACCTAAATATGTGACTTACGTATTAAAGTATACCATTAATAGGTATTTAGTTCGTTTTAGGATTTCAAATAGATCGTTCTGTACTCGTCAACTTAGTTTTTCTAAAATGTCAGCGTTTCTCACAAAAGTTTCAATTTAGTAGTGTCGGATAATCATACTGTAGTCCAAAATCCTTCGAAAAAACAAGTCGCTTTATGAAATCATCGCAATACAATTTATAGTACGTCAGAAAGTGTTTGAAAACAGTTTACTATAATTCAACATTTTATACATTATTTTAGTCTGTATAAATGATCAAACAAATGTATTATGTGAAATTTATCTTTGATAAACTTGTTTCATCAAATGTTTCCTAACTAATTATGTTTTTCAATACTTTTAATATCCATTGTAGATTGATTCTTCCGATAATTGTTCATCTGCAGTAACTAATAAATGTGAATCATCTTCAGTTGTGGCTATACCGGATCTTTATGAACCTTTATCATTCGCTTTGAGCATTGGAGAAACTCTATTTAACTCATGTATGTAGACAAATCTACTGTCGTCTAGGTCAGTTCATGGAAGACCCTAAGAGAAAACCAAACAATTCAGGCATCTCTACAAATTCTTATAACTTATGTATAGATTGTCCAGTATGTTCTGATCCATCTAATCCTTCAGAAAATCCGAACTGCAAGCATATTTTAAATGACCAGCCACTACTCAGTAATGTTTCGTCAACCGAACATCCTGAAGCTATGTCAGGTGAGATTTCCTATTAGCTCAAAAAATACTTTACATATTAATACATATTTTCGAAATGAAATATAAGTATATTATACTTAGAAGTATATATCAACCATTTGTTTATCGCTTTATTGTTCATGAAAAATATCTTCAGAATTTATCATTTTTGTACAGTCGCCTAAATTTTCTATTTAATTACGAACCACTTAGATACATTATTCTTTCATCTCCAATCATTTGTTTCAACGCCAGCGTTCTATAAAAATAATCATATTATCTACGTGGTTTTATTAGTATATCAATAGTTGAAATCATGAGTCAATTGAAGCTATACCACCATGGAAAACGTGGAAGCACTGGACGGCCATTTCGTCCTCAGCAGTGCGCATCCACGATCCCGCTCCTCGCGATATTTGAACCCAGGATCTATCGGTTTCGCGCGCGAGCGTTTAACCATTAGACCCCTGAGCCGGCATCCAACGGTGTTAATGTCTAACTTCGAATCTCACGGGGGTGGGATGGTAGATGTGCACTGCTTAGGAGTCCCATACTAGAACGAAACGGCCGTCCAGTGCTTCCACATTTTCCATGGTGTTCTAGCTTCAATTGACTCATGATTTCAACTTTTGAAATTACTAAAATCTCCACAAAAGCCCTTCTGATTATTAATATATGTCAAACCCACTGTAATGGTTGCTGGCAATAATGGTTTTATTCAAATTACAAATAATTCGAAATCGCTTTATTTTTTGAAAATGCTATACATGAGAACAATAAACTCTTATTTTATGGTTTACGAACTCATCGTGACGTTTTATTAATTTTTAATAAAGGAAATTACCACGGTTCTATTAAAGCATTTCGAGACTTATATTATAGCCCGGTAATTTTCGTATTTTTTATCAAGTTACCAACCAGCAATATAATCTTTTGGTAACTATTAGTATACTGTTGAAGAAAAGTTCTTTATTTAATGTTTGTTATGCTTTTCCATGTTAACGTCAATATGTATAATCCTCATAATCTGTAGTGACTTTCATAACGTTCATTCAAAATTCTTGCACATGATATTAGTATGGTACGCACTTCCTAATCAGGGAATAAATACAAGAAATAAATGCAGGACGGTATTTTATATTCTGAAAAGATCTTATTTATATCAGTCAGTCATTCATACTCAACATGGAACCAGGCGCATATGTGTATTAGTTCAAGTTGTTACACCACACCACCATTGCAAGATGCCAGAGTAGTAACGGTATATCAATGGTAGTAGGAAATATTAGACATAGAAGATATGATTCAAGAGGAAAATATGGATTCATGGAATTTTGGTTATAACAGATAGTCTTCTATTCCTTTAAAGCATATACAGATAAAACTCTCCTGACTTCTTTTGTCTATTTTTTCGTGATACAATAACGCCTGGCCAAAACTATTTACTGTTTATATAAAAATCTTATGATACGATAGTTAATTGTATATAATATCAATCTACAGAGTTAACATCTTTGAAGTGCAGTAAGATGTCGTAAGTGATTAGTAAACAAACAAACCAGGATCTTATGTTAGCTGTTTATTTTTAAGTAATACGTTTTTCCCATTGATTATTTATTTATTTAACTAGAACTTGTTAATCCTGACGATGAATTAGACGATTCTGGTGACGCTAAATGTACAAGGACTAACTCACATGAAAGTATAAACAGTAATACAGATAACGATGAAGATGATGAAGACCATGCAAGATTACGATTTCGTCGATACTCTTCAGATGAAGATTCAGAACATGAGTTTGTAGAACGGGGAACTGACGAAAATGATAACGATTCAGATACAGATTTTTGGGGTTCTGATGATTCTAGTATATTGCATTCACAGGTATGTACTATTTACTCACATAGTTTTTGTACCTTTTTACTACTGTGCAAGGTACCATCTAAAATAAGTTCGATTTTCAAGTGAATGATTTCATAATCCTCATGCAGCACCTATACTGTCAAAAACAAGTTGTTATTATAGACTAAAATGCAGACTGCAAAGCCTCAGGAGATTTACCTTAATCGGCTATATAAATATGTCTGTTGTTCAAATTTAATATTTTTCTATATTAGTTGTCTGTGTTTAGTTAATTATTTAGTAGTCTTTCCTCAGGTTTTACAAGTACTACTTATACAGTAGTGTTTTGATCATACATTAGCATTTTCTTGAGAAATAAAACCTTTTGTAAGAACTACTTTCTTATTTGCGTATGGTTTTATGTTCTTCAAATTTTCGTTCTGTATTAGTCCTTTAACCTGTCTAATTGATCTATACTCATCTCTATATCAGTCATAATTCCCTTTTACCGCATTATCTTCAGTACGAAACCTAATACAAACTTAATGTAAATTCCTATGTATTAGATGCTGTAGTTTTTATCCTACGGTTCTCCTGTAGCATAGTTTTGGAGTAACTCCAAGAGGAACCATAATTTGCTGTTAGGTTTCTTGTTTCCGATTGTTAAATAGATGAGGTTCAAGTGTACGAAAAAAAATACTTCGTCGCTTTTGACTATGTTTTGTGATTCTTCTATAAATACACGTTATGATAAAACTGATCAAGAGATATTTAGCTGGGAAATCCTATTCATTGTTTTCATTTTTAGGATGAGATTAATTCTACCGGTACACCCTCGGATGATGATCTTGATGATTTATCTGATGATCGGTTGAGGCGTGCTTCCAAACTGAATCATATGGGATCCCAACGAGATGTAAAACAATGAAACATAATGATTCGTCAAAATATCTTTCAGAATCCCGTTCAGTAAGTAAGGATGTAAGAAGTACACTGACTTGCATTTCAGAGGAGGAAGCGATACAAGAAGGCAAGACGGAGAAAGTAAAAGGTGAGCTTCAATCAACTCAAAATACCTATATTTTGTTTAGTTTTTGTTTGGAAATGGATCAAAATATATCAAAACAGCCGATCTGTGATCATAAACAATCTAAGCAAAATATAAAAAGTTTTCCCAAATGAATGAGACTGTAGATACTAATATCTAAGTCCATAAATTATAAGTGGTTTGAGATGAGATCGTACTTATAACAAAATAATACCAGTAAAGCAAACCCAAAATGTCGTTTATGCTGCTCCTTGGCTTTTTTGATTAATGAACTTCGTAGTTTAGTCGATCATAAATATCGTAGGACCTGACACGAATGTGCTTCCACCCAAGTTGCCACGTCATAAGAACACAACGAGAGAAAATTGAAAAGCATCGAAATAATAATGCTATTACTTATATCAGAAACTTAAATATCAATATTGTTCAAATTGAGAAGTGTGAAGTAAACCCAATATTTAGAGGAAGACAAACAATCTGTACCACTGCAATTCATTTTAGGCCACGTAAACCAACACTTCCAACTGTTTTTGTAGGGGTTGACACTTTATGACAAATTAGTAATTTGAACAAAGTTTCTCTGTATATAGATTTATTGTTGTAATGACAATAAAAATTAACTGCATTTTAAACACATTACCATATCAGACTAATTATCCTTTATTCTGATCAATCTGGTCAACAATGTAGTAGAATTCACTGACTACTAGTATATTGTTGCAATGTAATGTCTTATCACTTACAGCTTTTCACTTTTTCTCAGGAAGTCTATTTCATCACGTATACAAAAACGAGGTATTTACAATGATCACTTCACATATCATTAGTGAAAGCTTTTTATATTGAGGATTGATGAAAATGAAAGTTTGATGCGACGTATTCTGAAAAATATCATTTTAGGCTTTTAAAAGTGTTTTTTAAGAAACGTGTCCTAGAGATAGTGCAACAAAGTGGCTTGAGACGTTATCAGACATAGCTCAGAATAGAAACCGATGCCGCCCCTATTGTAACTTTCTTTTACTTTCTTCGTATAAGTGAGATGAACTTCTGAAAGATTCCATTTTCGTTATATTTTTCTTAAATAAACTGCTGATCCCATCAGTATTATTGTTTTCACTCCCATAAACTAATTGAACTTACTGTTTTTTATTATACTCACCTTCTTTTCTCCATCTCTTAAGAATCTTATTTTCTTATGTGGTGCATATATATTTTGGTATCCACTTGTACCAATGTTTGTGTGTTTGAACAAAAATAAAAAAAAGAAGTATTGACAAAGTCTTCTAAGGGTGATAATTGGTTTATTAATCTAAACTTTATAAAGTCAGAGTCACTTCATGTATAAAAATAAGTTTGCTCCATATATACTACATTTTCATTTCATCTTCTTAACAGTTCCTTCACCGGTTTCTCATCCATCTTCAGACAATGCTAAGGAATCAGTGCATCATGAGTAAGTAATATTTTCTTTGTTCGCCTCTGAAATTCATTAGTATTTATACGTTGATCGATCACTGGTTAGTAACTTATTGTTGTCTAGTCCCCATTATAATGAAACAGTTAGATAATTACTCATTGGACAATTAACACGCATTTTTACCAAACAATTCACTAAACATAATAAATTACAACTTAGATTTAATCCCTCCTCAATGTTATGGCGGAGTTTTCCTGTGATTTGATCAGACTAAATTTCACTTGTTAAAGTCGAGAAATAGAATGCTAATTGACAGATGAACTCAATGATATGACGTGTAACCGAGTGATGGCTACTCACGAAACCACATAATTGACTAACGCCGCCGAATAGTTAGGGATCGAAGACAAGACAATTAGCCAGATGAATGTTTTTCATGTAACAAAATAACATGCTTATATACAAAATATGAACACAAAATAAATATGATAAAATGTTGTAGACAATCAGAGGAAATTAGCTTTTAGGTCACTCATTCTCCAATCCACTATGACCTGACTGATAAGCCCAATCTTTTAGCATCGTATCACTCCACTTGTTCTCTATTTCATCCAGGCAATAAATGAGTGTTAATGCAGTACAATTTAACACTGAACAAACTTTTCAAACTTTGTTTCTTTATTAAAATATATCCATCATAATCACTGTTCGCCATCTTGAAATCAATGCTCTAATTGCTCTAAAATGACCCATTATTTTGTTTACTGTTTCTGACACTTTATACGCTTCTTTCTGTTTAATTAAACGTTTCTGAATTTTTTATAGTTGAAGCTTTCCAGAATATCCACATCCCTAAAACTGAACATTTACTGTTCAAGCTTATCTATATCTCCTTTTTATGTTCAGACGAAGTTATCCACTTTTACTGCTGACTTCTGGAGAGTTTCGATTCTTCTGAGTCTATTCTTACCAAGATTCATTTCCCTAATCACCTGTATTTCAAAACGTCCAGGATTCCTGCAACTAACCTGACCTATTCAGATTTATTTTTTATGTTATTATTTCCTGTATTGTTTATCTTAATAATTAATTCAATTGACTGAATATATATTTTTCACTTTTTTAGTTGTAAATATTTTGTTTGAATCTCACTTTTTGATAAAAGGCAGATACACATTCAAGATATATTGGTGTTTCATGATCAACAACCAATTAAGTGACTAAAATTTCCATTTTGAACCTATCATTTCAATTCTTCTACATTACTTTATGTAAAAAAGAAGGAACTTCATCCATGAAATTCATTCTCATTATAACTTTAAATCACCTAATTGAATACCGCTTATACTTCACAATATCATCACAAAAAGTTATTCATTTTGTCACATTTTCACTTTTTTTTCTAAAGCGCAAATAGGTAATGAGTTCGAACTTGTTTCCACCTAAGTATGTTTGATCAGATAGGTATGCTATTGTTAACCATTACCTTGTAATCCCAGTATACAAACCTACTTTTTATTTGATTTCATTCTATTTAATTGGTCAATAGTGTTTCTCTTTTAATATATGCCAGTTATTTATGATTCATAATCTGTAATAAATAGTAAACACTAGTTGTTTAACATCTATTTCTCCTCAAACTTCATCAATGAGATTTAATAGCAAGACACATTTCTTTTTTGTATATTTAGTAATTAATTAAATTAAAATGATTATTTTACTTCTGTTCGCTTTCATAGTTCTACTATTGATTATGTAGAGAAAAATACGCGTTACTCTTCAAAATGTCATTCAGATTCTATTAAAGAGAATTTATCAGATTATCCTTCTGTTCAATTTGACAAAGATTCTTACGACCCAAATACAGATATACCAACACGTATTAGTCTATTTAGTCGACTTTATTTATTTCCTGCTGTCAAATTGTTTTTGGATTGGCTTTCAAGTTCACAGTTTCAACATTTAAATTTGTCTTTTCAAAATGTTAATTCCACATTAACAGATAATATAACTAATAAATCGCAGAAACCTAGTAGAGCTAGTATTATTTGGCAGGCGTCTGTAGAAAGATTCGTATCACAACTAATCCCATTATTAAATAGTATTTATCCAATATTCGATCAAATGTCTCATGAAATATTGTGCAAAAATGTAACCAATACATCAGAATCATGTGAAATTAGTCATTGTGATCAAAAAGAACAGTTACATGTGGATTCGTGTACTCACTTGGTTGAATCGAGTAAGTCTGATTACAGTAGTATAGTAATTAATTGATTGTGTGTGACATAAGTAATCAATCAAATAAAACATAGACCTTGGCATATATATATATATATATATATATATATATATCGGTTCGGCATAAAATTGAAGGAGTGATAAAAGCGATATTGATTTCGGTGTTAATCTAAGAATAATAAATACAGTGTAAAAAGAATGAATGAGGTCGGAAAGTAAAAGTATTGAATTGTGCGAAGCTTAAGATTTGAAAGGTGATAAAGAATGAGTACGGCTGCATCACTGCAACCACTTTAAAGCAAGATCCAAACTAGAAAATCTAAACTTCACACGACTTAGACCATTAGTCAACCACCTCGTGAACTAATTTCTCGTCATAATCAGCATTCCCTTAACCTACTTGGAATTTACTCTTGTCCTAGCTGGTACAATGTGTCACCGGCTACTTGATGTGTGCGCTTGCTTTACATGAAAATTCTTTATAGAGAACTTATGTTCTAATATCGAATTCCCTATAAGTAATATCGGTAATCTGTTATTATATGGGATTTAAAATAGTCCATGTAGTAGATAATATCTTAGTTATTTTTTCAAGCAGTATACAAACTAAGAAAGGTTAAAACTTTATATCTTGGAGAAACGGTATATGTTTATTTCTAGATAAGTCCTAAGATATAATCACGTCGAAAATAATACATTTACTTCTGTGTTTTTATATTCAGAGAAGATCAAGAGTGATTTAATGTAATGCTTTAACTTACTGAAACTTTGTTTTTCTATTTTCGTAGTCATATTAAATAAACTCCGCAAAATTTCAGCTGGAAGAAATATAGTACTATTATGAATGGCTTAGTCATTCTAGTTTGTTCTGGAATGAAATTTTTCTTAATTTCTTTTAAGTAGTAGATTATGATGATGATCAATATAAAGCAAGTCTCTACAGTAAGAAAGTAACGCTGTTCACTTATTTCTTGGAACAAAAGAACATCTTTAATGCACTCTGAGTCTCTTTCAATGTGGAAGAAAAGATTGTAACAGGTTCATAATACAAGCATCCAATACATACTTCTGTAAGTTATGAAATACGAGTTCACACTTTATGTTGTATGAATTTGTCCACTCACTTATAGAACCCTAGGTTTACGCCCTTCAACTTTGATCATTCCTTTTATAATGTGACTAGTTTAAACTTGTCAAGTCAACGTACAAGTATTTCAATCCTCAAATTGATATACTTTACTTGAAATTTGTTAGATTATAATGTTGTCATGTCACTTGATCATATTCCTTAACATTTTTCAATTCTTTTCACATAGTTTATGTAATACTCTTCGTATATATATATATATATATATATATATATATATATATATATATATATATATATATATATACTGTGCATAACGTTTTACTCGATTTTCATTACAGATAACGATGACAAAACCAAGTTCAATATCGTTCATCATTTATCACCTGCTGCATACCGGACAATGAAAAAATTGTTTTCTCAACAAATTTCCAATCCAAATAAGTTTCCCACTGAAGAACAAAATGAATCAGAGAAAAATTTTGTAAAAGAAACTGTAATTCCTAATGATGAAAAATCCAAAATTTATCCTCTTCCTGAAGATTGGTTACTACTTGGCTTACCATCAATGAATTGTATTCATAAAAAAATTGATTTTCATAATGGATGCATATCACCGTCGTTAAATGAAGTAGATGAGGTAAGTGTTTGTTTTCTTATCTACTACTTTCTTCGACGAAACCTCAATAAATATTTGTATAAATAACTACGTAAATTTCTTTCAGGGTTTACTGCAAACGTGTAGTTTAGCAATTCCGGTACTTGGTTTTCAAACTGTCAGTTAAGGAGTTAATGCTTCTCTTAATTACTATCTAAACAGTGAGTTATTGTCGTTAACGTTTCACATAATGGATATAGCCATCAGATTGTAGAACCTTTAGTTGGAGTGGTTATTCCGAACTCGTGACCCAGTAATCGATATTTCAAATCTGGACTGTTGAACCGTTATTTGATTTTTATCATTCACATATTTGCTGATAAATCTAATTGTTCGTCCAATGTTGATTAGTCTTAATAAATCTATCTGACTGTGGATCTCTGCGGTACATACTTTTAGTAATGTTTAATAAATCTGTGAGGAATTATTTCATAAGCGTATAGCCATCTTATTCCTGTTTTGATATGGAAGTCAGTCTCACTTGTAGTAGTTTCCATAAATATACTTTCTAATACTTTTTGTCCACAAATTAATTTTTTTTACTCTATCCTTATCCTCCAGATCGTATTTCGGTGCGCCTCCCTTACGTTTCATGGGTGCAGTTTAGCATCACACAGTGATCAGTTGGGTTTATTTGTTACATATAATTCTACTGGAAATGGTGGTCGACCTTTTAAGTGTGACATACCACTGTCTAATGTTGCTAGTCTATCCTCTTCCAATAATTCTAATTGGCCCTATTTGAGTCGACGAAGACGTCGTGGTCGTCGATATCAGAAGTTCTATCCTGGCTATGGAAGATGTGATCGTTACAGTTCTTCTTGTCCCAATACTGGTTATCAGTATAACAGAACTGATCATCGTAATACATGTGTACCTCATAGAGGTCACTCCTATAGGGAACATGCTAGATATTCAGGCTCGGCTAAAGGTCACAAGTCATACTATGATTCCAGACATCGTAACAAACACTCACAACAAGCAGATAATCATCATAACGATTGGGATACAATAGAGTCTGTTCAACATTCAGAAGTTTCACCATCTGATGTTCTTCAATCTGTCTCTAAAAGTGGTCCACAAAAATTTGATTCATCTTCACTGGTTAAATGTGATACTGAATTATTTGACAAACCTCAAGTGAGTTTATTATTTCAGTAAAGCTGAAAGAATTTTTTATTTGTTTTCAACTAAATAATGTTATTCCACACCGAATTATTGCTATTGAGTGCCATATTTGTTAACGTCCATAGTTCGTTTACAAATGTATTAGAGGCTGAATAAGCAAATTATAATATCATTAGCTCTTGTCATTTTCCGCATATCTAAGATTGAGTAGAATATATATAACTCCAATTAATTTAATTTATAAATCCACTGTAAGAGCTTCTAGCTCAATACTTAGACTAAATCTCTTCGTTTAATCTGAAGCGTTTCTTCATAACATATAATAATGTATTTGTTTAATTTTACTACTGTTTATTTGTGTACAATCAATCCTAGAGGCTGTGATATTCTTATTATTGTCTTGCCTAGAAACACTATCTTGTAAATTATATGAGTCAATTGTGCAGTTAACTCATTTTCGACTACAGAAATCTAAATACACTTAAAAAGTCACTGCTAAACAATTGATCAGTGACTTGTATGTCATTTTATTTTAATAGTATTGAACATTGATTTTTATTTAAATCCGTTGGCCAACATTGTATTTTATTTGTTATAAATTGATAGAAAGTAAATTTGAAAAATAGTCCTTAATACTCTTTCTAGTTGTTGCGAAGCAACAAATTCCAACAGGGTCAGCCAATATAAGTGTGAGTGTAATGATCTAAGATGGACAAATGGATTATCAACTAAGCTGAAATTCAACACAATACTGTAGTGGTCGGTTTGACTATCTATGAATAAAAAACAAGTCATTGGTACCAAACAGTTATAAATAGAGCTTCCTATTCAATTTGTCTTTCTTCTTAGGTAGAATTGACCAAGAATTATGAGAAGTAGTTAGCGGCTGATTTTAGGCGATCATCATATCTGATACAGATACTTAAAGTCACATGAAACCAGTACTGTTGTTGTTCTGTATGTGAATACACAACAAATACCCCTGACAAACACAATTATATGGTAAATGAAATAAAATTCTCAATACATAATTTACACTTTTCTGGGAACGATATACTAACTAATGACAATTCATGCAATTACTTGGAGTAACAATGAAAAATAAAAATTACATAACTTGCTAAACAAAATCATCAGTTATAAATCCACAGCAGTCTACGAAATTATTTATGCTTTACAACATATAATGCTTAATTTACTTGTAAAAAATGGTACTTAGAATTAGAGGTGGATGAATGGATATTTTGACTAATAAATTTCAATAACTCGTAAACAATAATCACTTTTTTTCTCTCATCATTTTACTAAATATAACCATTTTTACCTTTAGATTAATTCAACAGAAACTGACCAGTCACGCCGAGATCAAGCTATGCGAGATATGGCTCGTCTTCGGTTACTCAATGAAGTCGATCAGTTAGAACGTCAGTTTCGTAATCAATCACCTCTTTCATACAATAAAAGAAGCACTAACACTGCATCTTCCATTCAGAATTCAGATTCAAATATTCAGGATAAAAACTTGGAATTTGATATTAAAAAAACCTTTTTGTCACCTTTTCTTGTCATAGATGCTTACTGCTTAACCAGCCATTTATCCATGGTCAAACAATTAGTCAGTTCTAATCGTTTCGTTTTAATCATACCACAAGCAGGTTAGTTGTATTGATTTCTTAAGATTGGTGTAAATTTACCAATTTTTCTAAAACCACAATATTTTCTAGTTATCACCTCTTCAAGCCACATATGTAGGCTTAATTCTAATTTTTGGTAAAATCTTGTCCAGATAAATTGATTTTTATACTACCCTACATCAAGTAGCCATTCGTTACGTATTCATTCAAATGTATTTTGACATTTATCACTAAATATATCGATATGTTATTTAAATTTCTTTGTACTTACTGTTGAGTCGGCTTTCGGAGAACTTCAACGGAGCCTCCAGAGGCTCAAAAGGAGCCGAAGAGTCCTAGCCAATCAGAGCACGATGGAGCATTCTAGAATTCCAACGTGGCGTGCTACTGTTGGTCAGTAGCATAATGTGTCGTTAACGGATTGGTCTAAATATGATGTTGATTTAACAAACGCTAACATCTATAAGTACCCATGTTTTCTGTACAAGAACGAACCTTGGAGTAAAGTGTTTCTTTCATACTTTGCGCCTTCTTTCTGGTGTTCAGGTCGCTGTATAGTTCTAGCGTGTGGGTTATCAGAATAGCTTAGGAACGAATATAGCGTCCAAATCAGCAAGACATAACACTTACATTAAATGATTTAGTATTTCATAGTAGATTACACTACTATTCATATGATTTATTGTTATACACTGTATATATTTCTCTATAAAGAGTTTTATGTAAGAAACCTACTCCACTGAATGATAGTTTATTTGCATAACTAGTTTTTTCGTTCATCATTGAAATATTTATTGCCAGGCGAAACGTTGGATTTACTTCAAATTCTTTCGCTGAGATTTTACAAATACATTCTTCCTCTTGAAATACTATTGCTTTAATTTCGTAAGTTCACTTAGACGGATATTGTGATAGATATCTGTGAATGATTATTTTGCATACTAGGAATCGAAAACACTCAAACAGGAACTATAATTTCATGATTTGAACGCTTGTTTTTTAACTAGTGAGTTTCAGCCTTCAACCTCTCACAATCTACTTCTTTTTAAGCAATCGGACAATGTCACTAATCCTAAGATAATCTCGAAATATTTCTCAAAAATTGAAATATATGTATAAAAGTTGTTAATTGTTAGGACGCTGAAGGATATTTCAAAGTAGAATCACATGTGAATTCGATCCAATTTTACTGTACTGACTCATCGTGTTTTTTAAATAGTAGTGGCTTTTAAACGTTACTAAAGTTTAAGGCTATTGTTATCATGTAAATAATACTTGCCCTTAAAAATGTGGTATTTAAAAGTACTCTTTGAATAGTTTTCTGTACTTAGTAAATAGACGTTTATGAATCTACAGTTTTTCATTGGTGCTACATGTTAATACTATGAAACTATGTAATATGCAAATTTTCAAAAGTAGAAATATTTTATTGGATTGAGAATTATGCTCAATAACTGCCTTGTTCATTCTACAAGGATGTGAATTAAATTTGTGATTATATAATTCTCGAGTTGTCATTTGAAAATTAAAAACAATAGCTCAGTTACTTATATGCCCACCTGACTGCGAATTTGAACGATGGGTGCTTTTAGGTTGTTAAATTCGGATGACAATTACCTTCTGTTTATTATATATTCCATTTTGTATCTGTTAATAGGTCATAACAGTAAACTATGATACACAGAATGTTTGGACTAATAATTATAAAAGCTTCTGTCGTTTAGTTTATTCCTTACTAGCTACAGTAATTTCTTTGACTGGATTTGAAAGTGAATTTTATCACATCCACATGTACATTTCTCATCCTCGTTATATTTTCCTCTCTAATGTAAACTCTCCAGTTATTTCCCATTTGGATTACTTGAAGAAAACAATGGCATCCGCTAGAGTAGCGATACGATACCTGGAACATGAAGCTCACGGTGGCAACCGGTAAGTTTCATTTACAATTACACTTTGTACTATGAATTAGTTTGACTTGGATTGATTCTCACTAACCAGTAACTAACAGTAGCTGTTTTATACCCCTATAATACTTTGCGTAAAAGAAAGGTAAGCCAACCATCGATGGGCAGAACACTTTAGGGATCAGTTCAACTGGCCTTCAGCCACACTTCGGTTTCCCACGATCTCTAGTCAACCTGAATGGCAAGTTAATGTAGGTCCTCCGTCCCTTTACGAAGTTGAAAAAGCCATAGGAAATCTGAAACGAGGGAGAGCAGCAGGCCCTGACAGGTTTACTCCTGAGATTTTTAAGGATGGTGGTCCAGTATTAGCAATGAGATTAACCGAGGTCTTAGGTAGAATTTGGGAACTGGACGTAATCCCATCTGACTGGTCTCAATCACTGATTGTGCCAGTCTATAAGAAAGGACAAAAGTCCTCTTGTGACAATCACAGAGGAATCAGTTTGACTAATATAGTGTCTAAAATATTAGCTTCAATAATACTTCGACGCCTAATCAAAGCTCGTGAAGAGCAGATTAGAGAAAACCAGGCCGGTTTTCGACCTGGACGTGGTTGTATAGATCAGATATTCACACTACGTCAGGTTCTAGAACACAGACACACATTCAGACGCCCCACAATGGTAGTATTTCTCGACCTTAAGGCGGCATTCGACTCTGTTGATCGTGAGGTTCTATGGCAGTGTTTGTCACTGAAAGGAGTACCAAAGAAGTACATTAACCTTATAAAGGCTCTCTACTCGAACACAACTGGTAGAGTGAGAGCTTATGGCGAACTGTCATCAGAATTGATTACCTCAAGTGGTGTTCGTCAGGGCTGTCCACTCTCCCCATTCTTGTTCAACTTTGTGGTCGACGTACTTTTAGAGATAACACTCTCCTCATCTAAATTTCCAGGGGTTGAACTTCTACCAGGAGGTTCACTTGTTGACTTAGAATATGCTGATGACATAGTTTTATTTGGTGAAGACGCTGACAAAATGCAGAGTCTTCTGACCACTCTAAGCAACAATGCAAGCATGTTCGGGATGCGATTCTCTCCCTCGAAATGCAAAATGTTGCTTCAGGATTGGGTTACATCGACACCCGAACTAGTGATAGGGAGTGAAGTAGTTGAGTGTGTCGACCGCTTCACTTATCTTGGAAGTCTCATCAGCCCTTGTGGTTTAGTGTGTGACGAAATCTCAGCACGGATACAGAAGGCTCGACTAGCTTTTGCCAACTTGCGTCATTTATGGCGTAGGCGAGATATCCGTCTATCAACCAAAGGACGGGTTTACTGCGCAGCAGTTCGTTCCGTCCTACTTTATGGCAGTGAAACATGGCCGGTAAGAGTAGAGGATATTCGTAGGTTACTAGTATTTGATCATAGGTGTCTTCGAAACATTGCTCGTATATCATGGGACCATCGAGTAAGTAACACAGTTGTTAGGAAACGGGTACTAGGTAAGGATGGCAAATCAATTGATGAAGTAGTGAAACTTCATCAGTTGAGATGGCTGGGACACGTGTTACGTATGCCCAACGACCGACTGCCTCGACGTGCTATGTTCAGTGGTATAGGAGTAGGTTGGAAGAAAGCTAGGGGCGGCCAAACCAAAACATGGCACAAGTCCATGAAGTCACTGACAAGTGGACTGAGTCATGTTGGTAGGTGTAGACTACCTGGTTGGGGACCGCGAGATGATAGCAACCGATGGTTAGAGACCCTGAATGACATGGCTCAAAATCGTTTGCAATGGCGCAGGTGCATCCACTCTCTGTGTTCTCCCAAATTCTAATCTTCTGAATCCTTCATGTCCCTTTTTTCCTCTTTCCAAATTTATTTCACTGGATTATACTCTTTAAATAACATCTCCAAACCCTAATCTTCCCGATTACTGCTTATACTCTTGCTACCTCTACCACTACGGGATTTGAATCGACAACTGCATCTCTGTGCTAATGTGGTGTGGCAACTCGAACTGATGTACGTACGTACGAAGTTCTACGTTGTTACTGACTGACTGACTGAAGCCAACCATAAAAAATCTTTTAAAATTGGTTATTAGTCTTCATTATATATGCACAAAATTACTCGGTTTTCAGTTTTTTGGCAAACATCAGATCAGATCTTGGTCTTAGTATTTAAATGTTTTTCATGATAGTTGTTTTAATCAGAGACTGATATCCGCCAGCGAAACTTTAAGATCTCATAGCAGTCAACAGCTGTTTACCTTAGTTTCTTAAGTTTCTGCAATTTGTACATGTAATCCAAACCTCATAGGACCTTCATATTTGACAACAAGCCATGATTTTATTTAGCCACTCAGTTTAAATTCAGTGGTCCCCGATTTCTCACTTCAGTTAATTCATGATATACTACAACCATTATCTTATCTCATCGGTAAATAACTACCTGACATCTGGTTTAATTGATTACATAAGTCTTGACTTCTCCATGTAGACCTCACGAAATCCATTTGGAAACTAGTCACTAATGCTCCCATAACTATGATTACAAATCTCGACAAATCAAACTAACTTCCGATAGTTGTTTCAAGGCTTTTAATATTTTGCACGACAATAGACAAGTATAGTATTTTATATATAGTATAATATGGCATAATAAATCTCTAAATAATGAAATCATTAAAATCTTTTCAGATGAATGATTTCTAATTTAAAAATAAGCAGTTTAATAATAAAAATGATGTGTAATATGCACTTTTCCTTTTGCATGAAACAAGCTTTTCTTAGTTATTTTTAACTCAAATTCCTGTCCAACGGGCATTGTTCGCTATCATATCATTATACCATTCCAAAATATTGACGCAATTGTTTCTCACTCTTCTACTTCATGTTATCAGTTATCTGCGATTACAAAGACCAGATGAGCAACCAAATCAACTTATTGAACTTCATCGTCAAGATGCTGTACATAACGATGCTCAAGATTTAATAACCGACACGGAAGAAGACGAACCTAAAGCACCCACCAACCAAAGCTTAAATCTTCGCGTTGTAAGAAGATGGGTTAACATCCTGAACTGTGCGTCTTATTTTGCACAGGTGAGCACATCTGTGTTAGGACTTTTGAGAATTTAGTATTAGTTCGTGTGATTCCTTTTTTGTCCAATCGAGTACTTCTCTTATGCGAGATTATCTATGGCTTGTCTACGTTGTCACTAAAATTTAGAATTTGTTCGCCTTGCTTTAAACACTAATTTTAAGCTGCCGATGTTTACTTTAAAGTTATAATCTGTTCATTTAAATAATACAATTACACGAAATTTTTCTTTGACAACTGGATTTCACTAATCAGCATTAAAAATAACGTTATACACTTGTTTTATAGTTTAATTGTTATCGGTATCCCATTAACTAATAGTAAATATTGATATAAGACTTGAAAAAGTGGATACCAAGTCTGGATTTCAATGTTATCGAGACACGTGTATCTGTGTGTGTAATTGAATAACAAGTTAAAATGAAGTGTGAATCCAAAATTCTATAAATTATCACCATTAAATGCCTGGTCCCACGTTGTAGCTGACTGACTGACTGATTAAATGCTGTGTAACCGATTTTGATATGAAAAACTACTTTCTATACTCCATATTTTTCCATAAGATAATCAAATATAGCTAATAGTCTGAATTATTTTTTTTCCATCCTAATTTAGACGCTCAAAGATTCAAACAATTCATCTGATCCAACATCTGTAAACAAAAACTCCTTACTTAAAGAAGCTACTAATTCAAATGAACAGGAAACCAATGACTTTCTATATTTGCTTAATATTTCACCTCCATATGTAGATCTACTAAATAAAGATTGCAGTACAAATGAATTGAATGAGTTTTCACTTACTAAAACAGCACCTGTGACTATTCTGATTGGATTTAGAAATACATCTGTTGAAGATACAATAGTTCCTCAAGACTTTTTAAAGCTTGCATTAAATCATGGTATGTCTTATACATTAGTTTACTGTTCACCTATCGTTGTTTAATTTATTTATATACATATTTTTTTGAAATTGTTAATTTCTTAAAATTACCAATGATAATTTTGATTATTGTGTTACCAATTATTTTCAATTGCCATCAGGATTGAAAAAAATTAGTTTCTTTTATTGGCATAATTTGCAAGAAAAAATAATAACTTAGTTGAAAGAATATAACTTCTATAGTGTCCACTTTTAACAGATTACTTTCAATTTTTAAGGTAACTAATCAGCTGCATTTCTATGATGTAAGATGATGGTTAGAGATGGTCGACGGGAAACCATGGACTTAGTTTTCGTGCTATTTGGCGCCCGTTGAGATATTGAATCACCTAAACTGGTGGCTTCATTGCGACTTGATCGATAAAGTTAGCTCAGCACTAAAAAAGACTTGACATACATGACATTGGTCACCCGGTGATCGATCAATTGTAACTACACCTCATTCCTATAAGAGTCCAGATAACTCAATGGTAATGTCTCTGACTTTGACGTTGGGTGACGCAGGATCGAATCAGGCAGAGAGCATCAGTATAATGAAAATTATATGTTCTATCGTGTCCCAAATATCATGGAACCTAGGTCCTTGGATTCCTGTGAACTATCTCAAACCACCACGTCGGTCACTACCCAGTGATCAATCAATTGTACAGTTGTCTTTCTTCAGGAATAATTCAAGATGACAACTTCACACCAATATTGTCAAATTTTATTATGTCATCCATTTTTAAGGTCTACTAAAATAATTACTTTGATTGGTTGCGTGAGAAAAATAAGTATATATTAAAATACATTAATTAAATTTTCACAGAAATAATAATGCTTCCTAATTTTTTAATATTCATCGGACTGAGTAAACCATCTCAATGTTGCTGATTTATTTGTTATTCATTTATGAAGTGCAATTTTGTGCACTACACTTTGGGTCACAATATTTTGTGAGTGCTGGTTATTACCATTCAGCTACCTAAACCGAAATAGATGAGGTAGTGTTCAAATTTATTATCTAATGTTTTGTGAAGCTAAATACTTTAAGCTTTAACCATTAAAACATAATTGTCATGAGTTTTTGTTACACTTCGAGTTTAATTAAAATACATGCTGAGAGTAGAATACTTTGATTTGATTAAATCTATTTCATGTCTGAGAAATCTTGAGTAGAATTCTCTACTTAACTTCTTTCAGAAGTATTCATCAATATCAATAATACGACTAAGTTTTATTTATGAATGTTTTATATTGGAAATAAACCAATTAGCTTCTAGACAAGCCAACTTATCTCAGTCAGTCAATCAGTAACAACGTAGAACTTCGTACGTACGTACATCAGTTTGAGTTGCCATACCACTTTAGCGCAGAGATAGCCAACTTATCTATTCTTCTTGAATCACGTTTTGACCTTGTTTGTCATTCACTTATCAACCCCGATTGTTTTTATATGGGCGTATATGTGTGTACATCTTATCCTACTCATCACATATCCGTAGCTTATTTTTGTGACTATAAATATTGATTAACTCTTGATTAAATTGAGTTGGCCCACGTGCCTTCTCCACTGCGCGGAATTTCGTTTCACTTCGCTTTCTTCGCTACGTCTCTCTGATTGTCTGTTCCGATCAGCGTTGGCACAAAATATACGCATTCAAAATTCCATTATTGTATTTAGCTTATTTTAATTCCGTTATTCACCAACGCTAATTAAGTCGATGATTATATACGAGGATTAGCGACATGTATATCTCAATAACAATCAGAAACTATCCAAGTGGAGTCAGATACAGGGCCACTAAAATTGACGACCTCTACCACGAATTTAACGCAGCAAACTAAATATGCAACAGTAGTAGTGTGGTGTGTGCTACTTATATTGACATAAGTAGTATATGGTGTTAGTCGTAACAGAAGGTCTGGCAGCAGAGAGACAAGAGAATCATATAGTAAAGAATGGAAACATGATGCAATTTGTATGAAAATGCAAGAACAATGAAGTCTGAGTCATTTTGAGACAATTGGTGGACATTTTGGAAATTAAGCATTTACTTTATGATTGTTAGATTTTATTAACAAGTCCTATAATTTTGTGTTAAATACATTCGATTGTCCCCACTGGTGTTCTTATTCACTACAGTAGTATATTCGTAGCGGAGAGCAATTAGGTCATACATAATCTGTTTTTTGATTACTTGGGATCTTATTTTACTAAGTCAATCCTGAGAAAACACTTAACATTCTAAAATACTTCATGATATCTCACTTTCATTTTAATTTTTATGCTATATGAAATATGATTAGCTTTTTGCTAGCATGTCCGGATTCGAAGCTCTGTATAAACGTCTACTTAATTTAAACGATTATAAAATAACAGTCAATAGTGAAATAACATTGAAAGATATTCCTGTGAATTATACAAAATCTAGTGTTTTAATAGTAATACTAGACTGGAATACTTTTTTGAATTGCAAACGTCTTAATTTTTTTTCATCAATACTTTATTCAAATCCATATGCTATTTTCTTCTGCATTATTTTCAAGGTGTACGGTTAGAATTAATTCGCTCCTTTATTCAACGTTGGAAAGCGATCAAAACATGATAGGAATAAAGAATATGCATGTACATATGTTCAACATATATTCAACTGATGTAAAATAACATTGTACAAAATAAGATTGTTTTATCCATCAGTTATTTTCTTTTTCCCATAACATTTACATGTTTAACATGATTTTGTTTTTTGTCAGTTGTAAGGCTGTGAAAATTGTTGAGTTGTAGTGGAAATCATAAACCGATCAATGTTAGACCACCATTAAGTACCTCAAAGCACTGGACGCCTGTCTTATCCTAGTATGGGACTCCTTGGCAGTGCACACCCACGATCCCGCTAGTGGGACTCGGACCCGGGACCATCGGTCTCACGCACAAACCCCTAACCACTGAGCTGGGTTCCAACGGTGTTAATATCTAACTTCAATCAATCCGCGAAATTGCACGATCATCCTTCATTGTCTTCGATGGATAACTGCCTTACTTACATCTGGCACAGTGGAACCCCATTTATTACGGTTTTTCCATTCTGGTGTAGAATAGTAGTACTGTAGTGAAGGAGAACACTGGTGAGGACATCCGGAATTGTATTTAGCACAAATTACAGAGTTACTTGGTAAAATAGAAAAACCATATAGTAAATCGTTAATTTGCAAAATAGCCATACATCATATCAACCTGAACTGTTCCTGTTGCAAACATCAATCCATTGTCTCACATTTCATTGTTCATGCGTTTTCTTACAAATTGCATTGTGCTGTCACTCTTCCTTTCTTGATCATATACTACTTACATCCATATAAGTAGCACTCACCACAGTATGATTGTTCTGATAATCCGAATCTCTTATTTCATAAAGTTATATCACTTAGTACATCACGGTATAAATTAGATGTAAAATAATTACTTTGCATTAAACAGCGTAAACAAACTGATGATTAGCAGAATTATCAGAATGTTTGTTAAATACATAAAGCAAAACTTTAATTCCATTTAGTTTACCGTTGTGCATAACAAAGACTACAAAAGAATGTCGGACATTTTTAATAACTTATTCGATTTATTATTTATAAATTTAATCCGAATACTTGTTGCATGAAAAAAACAGTTGCCTTGATTGAAGCGTGTTGTAAATTGTGGAATAAGTGATGATGGAATAAGCTTCCGATTGATTATAAAATCGTGTACAACGTAACAGATATAAATTTATCATTTATCTGACTATAAATAGTGGTCATTTTGTTATCTTAAGCTTTTCTTTTTTCGTCTTTCTAATGAATATTATCATTATACGTTATCTGATATCTTACAAACAGTTATGACATGTGTGTCTTCTTCTAAACGGCTCGAATCGCAAAACAGGTGCTTGAAAATTGATATTCTCTCAACAAGCGTTAGATACAGTAAAGACTTAAGTCATAATTTCTATCCTGATCCTTTATTATTTCGATCTTTCTTCCAATTTAACCTTTCTATGTTCAAAGATGGATAGTGGCTAGCAGTGGAATCCAGGACGCGCGTTCCGTCCTGTTTGGGACTCGTCAGCTGGATGTACCTGCATCTCAGAGTTGATGTTCACTCTGGGACTAGAACTCAGTACCGTTCGCTTTAAACGCCATCGCATTGTCCACTTAGCTACTGAGTCCTGATAGCGCGTCCTGGATTCCACTGCTAGCCACTATCCATCTTTGCTTATAATGCTTGTAAATTAAGGCAATATCGAGGCATACGCACAGTATGCACATATGCCAATAAGAGACTGATCAATTTCAGTCCTAAAACATCAATGGGAAGATTCAAGTAAAACAATACCAAGTGAATTTCTATGTTCAGTCATAACTTGTCCTATTAGTCGTTACTGTGCTATATAGGGTTAACCGGATATATCACCTCTTGTCAAAATATTGATCAGTTGTTTAGTTTTAATTTTGTTATCGTCCTGGCTAGTGTGTCATACATGTGATCTAAAAATGTCCGCGTAATAATCACTAATACAAAAAACGAACTATTGAAATTATGCAATTGTGTACTTACAAACAATTGACATATGGGAAAATAGCGTTGCGTTATATTCGTTTGCTCAGTTTGTAAGCTAAAATGAACCATACTGTTATAAATTTTCACGAATGAAAAAGGATGATATTCGGAATTGAATATTCCACTTAAGTCTTCATATTACAGATAATGTTTTTAGCGTGCCCGTACACTAAGGCATTAATTCTCAAATCCTACTTCGTTTCCCCACTGACCAGAGATAGAGGTTCAAGCTTGTCTAGAAGCTTTATTGTGAGAGACCTGAGAAGATTACTAATCTTTCGAATATATTTATTTATATACAGATTAATTGGAGTAATTATTAATTTTAAAAAATTTATCACATTGAACAAACTTCACACTAAAATAGTACAAATGAATATTATAATAAACAATAATTGCACAAGACTAATTTGACAGTTAAGTAAGCGAAAATCAACCTGAATTATCTGCAATGAAAGTTGCACTAAGGTAATACAAAACCAGGTTTTTTCTTAAAAGTCTGTATATGTAGATTTAACATCCAGTTTGTTGGTAGTTATACGGATGAACAAATATATTGCCACAGTGTAGGAAAAACGTTCACTATATTGTAATATTCTTATTAAGAAACTAGAAGCACAGTTGCTAGTAACACATTATTGTTGTGGCTTCGAGTTTTTCATCTGTTCACATGTTTGCCCGCTGCCAGTTGTTCGAAGTGACATCTATGTATGAGTAATCAGGAACGTTGCTTTTCTTCCTAATTACCACTGATAATCTTGGCACGAGAAATCACCCTGGATAACCTAGATGTATCACTCATGTTATATAACGGCTGCATAAGATATAAACAAGATAAGAAGGAACTTGTCAAATGCAATGTATATTTCCTTCCCTGAATCGAAGAAATTATTCCTACACACAGAGAATTCCAAACTTCAGAGTAGAAAGGTTTATTCAACATGTATTGCTATAATTGTTCCCTATTTTAATAATCAACTTTTACTCCGTTATCTCCAAAATGAGCTATCTTTGTTTTCATGATTTTCGCTATTACTGTCTTTCCCAACTTATTTAATTATGCTGTGGAACTTATTTTTATAGTTATGAATTTCTACCTACTTTCTGGAACATTCTTGATTAATCTTTCAATTTCAATAATAATTTTGTCTTCTATTTTCTTAACAAGGAATAAAGTCCGCCTTTCTGTCCATTTGTTATCATATTCGATAAATCAATTGTAATTACCAAACATGTGTATCAAAAGAGCTTTCACTTCCTGGGATATCTTCGGGTCTCCAAATAGAATATGTTAGTTTCAATGAATTGCCAAAATATATATATATATATATTTCTTCGACCATAAAATCTATCCGTTTAGGTCGATTACCGCGAAGCAAACTTTTTCATGGAAAAGCTCAATATAGAAGTAGTAGTTCTAACAATAGATCAGTATTTAACACACGCGGAAGATATTTTTTCACAATACAGACGGGAAATTCAAGGCATATTTATTTAAAAGACTAATATTTGAACGAAGAATATTCTTTTCGATAAATTCTCTTCAGATTCTACAATTATATGTCCAAATTAATAATTCGAAAAACGGCCAGGTTAAGGGTAAAGTACATCGTTTAAAGCATGTGAATTTAGGATTGTTAAACAAAATACAATAAAATTGTTAATGTTGATATGACTCATATAGAATGTTAACTGAATCTGCATATATGTTGAGTGAAATTTAAGATGCATGATCAGAAAATATATAGGTCAGATAGGGTGAGAGAAATAATATTAATTGAGAACTTAACAAGTAGTGAGTAAACAAAAAAATAGATTTTCAAAATGTAGGTTGTCAAATGGTACTATACTGTATTTATAGTCTACGAAAAATGGTTCTAGCTTGGTTACCTACCGATCCCGGTAATGAATACTTATTTTCTTCACTTAAAGCACAGACCCAGCGTTATTTTGAGATGGTTTACGATTATTCCGAACCATAAACAATTGTGAAATGTCCTCAAAATTGCAGGATCTGTACGTTGCAGAGAGCTTAAAGATTGATCCCCGCAACACCTCAATAACAGTTATCCTGTACGCGACTGAAAAGACGGATCCAGGAATGATGTTCAATAAATTAAAAACTATGATACAACTGCTTATATAACGTGGACACATAACAAAAAGAGCAAACCAAAAACGAAAGTAGCTAATCGGATGATAGTAAAAGTCAGTGGAACAATGTGAATTGTAAAATTACCGATGATTCCTTGTTACTTAGAGCTTCCATATATCAACGAACATCAGGAAGCTATATGATTTGAGGCATTCTAAATATTCAATAGCCGTGATGTACACTATCCCAGGACTATTCCCTTACGCGTTACTTATCGTAAAAATCACATTTTTCAGTGTATTCGACTACTTCAAGCTGTTATAACGAAGCGAAATTCATGTAAATTGTAATCTACCGTCTGTATGGATATGATTAATGTAGTAGAATAATTAATGCAGAAAGCTCTATATGAACGAGTGTCAGAAGACAGGATAGCGCCAACCAAACATGAGTCGCTTTATGTAACGAGACTCGACACAAAATCTTTTGCGCCATAAAAGTGATTTATATCTGGTTTAAACACTTGGTTATTGAACTTGCGCATCATTCATGAAATAAGGGCCACACCAGGTTTAACAGATCTGTTGTCAACAAACATCTCATTAATAGCTTAGGTTAGAAAAGTCATCTATAAATTAATAAATGGTTTATTAATCCTATTAGTAAAAAAGTACGAAAGAGTACCAAGGATTTGTTTGAGGTATCCAGCTGACTAGAAAGGTGGATAGAATTCATCGATCCACATGTATGTATTTATCTAAGATGCTCAAGCAGATGAAATTGTCAAGGCAAATCCCACGGTAGTAGAAGTAGTAATAGGACTAATGTTAACAGATAATGGTAAATGTATCAGGCTTAGCTCGAGTCGATTACAACTCTCAAACTCACTATTTTCAATGTTCACAGAAGTGAGTTGT